AAAAATCGACTTGACCAGTTGTGCGTGGAACCGAAAAAAGAACCGTTTTGACTATTGTCCGAGATACTCTCCTCGCAACCACCGCTGGCTGGGGAGTTCTCTGTTCCATGCGCCGTACGATAAGCCGTATGGTGTTGCTAGGATAAGGGCATTCATGTACGCTTTTCTTGCTCCACATCATCCGATTTTCCACCTCTACCTGAGGGGGAGAATGATCCTCGTTGGCGGGAGTGGTCTTGTTGATGGTGCCCACGAGATTGCGCACGCTGTCTTCCACGAGCTGACTCAGTGGGCTGTGCAAGATATCTTCAGCCCTCAAGGAGTGCAGAGAACCCGGGCCAGAACTGCAAAACAAAACAGGGGGACAGGCAAGAAAATAGGAGGGGGGCGACAATACATCCAAAGGGAAACGTCAGCCACGCACTTGGGGTGAGGATCTTGATGAACTCTCGTTGTAATGCCGGCCATGTAGTAGTGGAAGTGTTGGATACGGTAAAGGATCTCTTGCGGAGGTGGGTAATTCAGCCTAAAGTTCATCTTGTTGTCGTAGTTCTGACTATCGGCCGATGTAATACTTGGATGCCCCATCCCTACTCACCACCACCAAAACAAAGTTCCCAACCACACGCAAGAATCAGCCGCGACAACCGTGGCGAGGACGGCGAGGACGGCGAGGACGGCGAGGACGGCGCGTTTTCCCGAGCTGTTTGCCCCCACTACCCTGGCTGGAACAAGATAGTGGCGGCCGAAATGAAACGCTCTAGAGGGCGTCTTCCGAACGACAAAGTTCCTGATCTCGTCAAACGTCGTTCCCGCGATTTAGGCGATATATGTTCGCCCGCTAAAATGTTTTGCGTTGCCCGTTGAATGATGTGGTACCCGAAATGGTCAAGGGGTTAAACGTTGGCTTGGTAGCAACTCCTCGGTTGTTGTCACTGGCAAATAAAAACCTCGTGCCCATGATACCCACACAAGTGTACTCCTTCAACAACAAAACACAACAATAGAAGAATGGAATAGTCTATGTTTTGATGCAGTGGGGGTCCCGGTGAAGCGGCTCCCCCGTGTAGAGATATTTCTGTATGGAGGTTGCAAAATCTCGTGGTACCGCTGCACCCCTCCTTAGCCGTTACAGGACCGCTAAACCGGTCGTGCCCCCAATAGCAGTTATTGGGGCTGTTTTCAGTGAGCAATAGCGATGGTCATCGAATCAACTTGTTGGGAGACCCCGCATGCGCGCTTGCACACGCACACACACACACACACTTCTGTTGCTGCTGTTTCTGTCTTT